GCTAATCATCGTTACAGGTCGGTTGGTTTAGTGTTAAATTGACACGGAAAAGTGAGACACAAAAGCTGCACATGTTTCATTTTATTTTAGCGAATTCGATATACACACAAGTTGAAGGATTTATAAGAGGAACACCGGTGAAACATGGATATATCGGATCACAATTGCGATTTGAGAAGAAATTCGGATGACTTACGTTTGTCTCCCTCCATGGTGAAAGGCCAAAGGTTCACGTTTCAAGAAAAACTGAAGCGTATGTTCAATGTCAGCGTGAACACGCCAAAAACGCATCTGTACCTGGACAGTATGGCAGCCACGTTCGCCGAGGGCAGAAGACACGCTGCTCTTCCATATTGGTGGATCATCCACCCTTTCAGTCAATGGAAGTAAATGATCGATCATCAAAATATTTAGAAGAAAATACGTACACGGAGGTGGAGTCGCGTAACTGGCATACACCTTGAATAATTTTTAAAATTCGTCGGAAGAAAGCAAATCGACCTTGAAAACTTAGAAACCTCTCCGCATGCAGGAAAAATTGATACGCTATCGTTTTCACCATTTGGAACGATCGGAGTTTTTGTATTTTATAACTTCTCATAAAACGCGTAATTACAAACCTATTTGAGACATCCAAGTTATGCGATTCATCCTGCACGTTTTTAATCTCAAAGTTGTTGCTACTACTTGCATAATAATTTATTTATGTATACATCATTAACGTTAATTGTACTAAGGTGTAAAAGTGACCGGTAAATGTTGCGTTATAAAAATCGAATGTTTAAGAAGAAAAAGAGAGAAAAAACAACAATTCTCTTTCAACGGAGACAGCTTTACAATTTTAATAATTACGAAATAAGAATTGCGATACCGATTTATTATTTTATATTTATATTTATTAGAATTTCGACCGGATGTTATAATACTGATAATTATCATTTGCTTTATAAATTAAAGGATACGGATGTTTCCAGTTTCGTGAAATTTACCAAAACAGAGAAATTTATAACATAATAAGTTAATATTTCGATCGTCTTAACACTAGAACTACCGAGCCTTTGACGCAACTAATGTATATTATTTTATAACAACGACAATATACAGGATGTCCTAAAAATGTCTCGCAATTCGGAAATGGCGGGTTCCTCGGATCATTTGAAGCAACTTCTTCCTTTACAAAAATGTTCTCCGAGGCACCGTTAACGCTGTCTCTTATACACATCTCTTCGCGCGCTGGTTGGCTGGGCCGCCTCGCGTCAGCCGTACTCGATTCTTATTGGTCACTGTTTTTCGTTAATAACTCGTTAACGGTGCCTCGGAGAACATTTTTGTAAAGGAAGAAGTTGCTTCAAATGATCCGAGGAACCCGCCATTTCCGAATTGCGAGACATTTTTAGGACATCCTGTATATTGTCGTTGTTATAAAACAATATACATTAGTTGCGTTTAAGGCTCGGTAGTTCTAGTGTTAAGACTGTCTCTTATACACATCTCTTCGCGCGCTGGTTGGCTGGGCCGCCTCGCGTCAGCCGTACTCGATTCTTATTGGTCACTGTTTTTCGTTAATAACTCGTTAACGGTGCCTCGGAGAACATTTTTGTAAAGGAAGAAGTTGCTTCAAATGATCCGAGGAACCCGCCATTTCCGAATTGCGAGACATTTTTAGGACATCCTGTATATTGTCGTTGTTATAAAACAATATACATTAGTTGCGTTTAAGGCTCGGTAGTTCTAGTGTTAAGACTGTCTCTTATACACATCTCTTCGCGCGCTGGTTGGCTGGGCCGCCTCGCGTCAGCCGTACTCGATTCTTATTGGTCACTGTTTTTCGTTAATAACTCGTTAACGGTGCCTCGGAGAACATTTTTGTAAAGGAAGAAGTTGCTTCAAATGATCCGAGGAACCCGCCATTTCCGAATTGCGAGACATTTTTAGGACATCCTGTATATTGTCGTTGTTATAAAACAATATACATTAGTTGCGTTTAAGGCTCGGTAGTTCTAGTGTTAAGACTGTCTCTTATACACATCTCTTCGCGCGCTGGTTGGCTGGGCCGCCTCGCGTCAGCCGTACTCGATTCTTATTGGTCACTGTTTTTCGTTAATAACTCGTTAACGGTGCCTCGGAGAACATTTTTGTAAAGGAAGAAGTTGCTTCAAATGATCCGAGGAACCCGCCATTTCCGAATTGCGAGACATTTTTAGGACATCCTGTATATTGTCGTTGTTATAAAACAATATACATTAGTTGCGTTTAAGGCTCGGTAGTTCTAGTGTTAAGACTGTCTCTTATACACATCTAATGTGTATAAGAGACAGCTCATTGGCCACTGTTTTTCGTTAATAACTCGTTAACGGTGCCTCGGAGAACATTTTTGTAAAGGAAGAAGTTGCTTCAAATGATCCGAGGAACCCGCCATTTCCGAATTGCGAGACATTTTTAGGACATCCTGTATATTGTCGTTGTTATAAAACAATATACATTAGTTGCGTTTAAGGCTCGGTAGTTCTAGTGTTAAGACTGTCTCTTATACACATCTAGCTTATATAAATATAAGCTTAATATAATATAAGCTTATATAATATAATATAAGCTTGAGTGAAGAAACTTACCTAAATGTTCCTCGTAGAAACGTTTTTATAATATAAGGAATTGCAATGAAGAACCAGTCGTTTCGACTGGTTCGGGTAGTTCTAGTATTAAGTAGCATTGTTTGAATAGAGTTTCAGAAACTCTTGCTGAAGCGACTCTTTCCTTTCGCCTTTCGTTTCGTTACAACTTCAGAAGAAAATCAGCAGCTGGTTAATAATTAATTAATTTATAGATTCATATGGGACATGATCATGTTGGTAGTGTACATGATCGCTTTTCTGACGATCCCATTTTATGTCTGCTACATCGTGATGAGCCACGACTCGATTCGACTAGACAACTTTAATATCCTCCTGTATGCTCTGTGCTGGGTGGACATAGCGATAACCTGTATAACTGGATACTACAACAAGAAGCAGATGCAAGTAGAATTGGACCCTCGGATGATAATAATGTGAGCACCATTGTTTTCTGCTACGACCGATTGAAAATTATACAGGGTGTCTGAAAGATATTGGGAACACCCGTTTCAATGAAACACAATATTTCAGGGACACCCTGCATGTTCTTTATGTTTTCCCACTTAGGCATTACTTTAATACATTTCTCATCTTGGATGTTGTCACATCCCTGCCATGGGACTACATTACTCTGTCGTGGCGGTATCTTCCAGGACATAATTCTAGCTTGATCATCATTCTGGTGAACCTGTTACCACTTTTGAAACTTTTCCGCTACCCCCATATGATTAACAATCTGTACGAATTGTTCACGGTAAGATGTCGATATGAATTTTTTAACTATTTATACGTCAACCATTGTTGTAAGTTTTCCTTCTGTTCTATAAGCGTTTAGGCTTTCTGCGAAATTAATTAACGATTAGACTTTGAATGTTTATGCAAGCGCATATTTTTATAGGAAATACTTTGACGATAAGTTGTAAAAATCCTTAACGTGACTGGTTTCTTATACGAGTTCGTAATTATTGCAAAACGTTTTCCTATTTAATACTTAAATTTTGCATTCTTTCAACGTCGATCTAATATATTTGAATTTAAATCTAAATATATATTTATTATCTATTCAAATTTAATCTAAAATATTTGAAGTAAAATATTATTTCAAATATTTAACATCTATTTAAATTTAATCGAAAATATTTGAATTGAAATATTACTTCGAATATTTAACATCTATTTAAATTTAATCGAAAATATTTGAATTGAAATATTACTTCGAATATTTAACATCTATTTAAATTTAATCGAAAACGTTTGAATTGAAATATTACTTCGAATATTTAACATCTATTTAAATTTAATCGAAAATATTTGAATTGAAATATTACTCTAAATATTATTATAAGATCTAGCGCTTCTATTCCAGTATTTGGGGGTGATGCACCTGTACTATGAAGTGTTCACAACGGTATTACTGGCTATATACATTATGTTCTGGAGTGCCTGTCTCAGCTATCTAATCCCAGCACTAATGCTACACGTGACCAACACCACACCCGAAGTACATACGTCGTTGTAGATGCAACTCGAAATTAGACAGCTGTTGATTACGCACGATTTGTGACTGCAGGACTGCGAGGAGTGTTGGATGACAGGGCTGGATCACGTCGACATCGGCCACAGGTTCCAGCACGCGTTCTTCATGGTTGTCGAGAAGGTTTCAACCAGTGGCTACGGCTTGTACATACCTGTTACAGATGGACACCTTATACTGAGCAGCTTTCTCATGATAATGGGCAGAATAATCGATTGCTACATCGTAGGTGAATCTTCGATCCATGAAAACTCACTTGAACAAATTTAACAATTAACGCCGTCCAACTAATTTTCATGTCGGCCGAATTCTCAGCATTAAGAATTTCTTATGCTTCAGCCCCTAACAGTTGTATGAATGATTCTCGCGTGGGATGATTCTGTAGATTCTTCCAAATAGATTCTTTTGTAACATTGCAAACGTTTGAACGCGCTCAAAAAATATTTGGACATGACGAGACGCTTTTTTGCAACAATATTATTCTGCGGTGTGACCCAAAAGTCATTCGCAATCGGGAAACGAGGGGTTCCTGAGGTCATTTAAAGTAACTTTTTCCTTCGCGAAAATGCAATCCGCGGCTTTGTTTACGAGATATCAACAAAAAACAGTGACCAATGAGGGACAAGATTTAGCTGGCGCCAGGCGGTCGAGCCAATCAGCGGAACTGAGCTTCGTCCGCTCATTGGCTCTCGCCAATCTCATTGGTCACTGTTTTTTCGTTAATAACTCGTAAACGAAACAGCGGATTGCATTCGCGCTAAAAAAAAAGTTACTTAAAATGACCTCAGGAACCCCTCATTTCCCGATTGCGAGTGACTTTTGGGACGCCCTGTATTTTCGAGACGTACGTTAAAGTTCGTTATTGGACTGCGGATCATTACGAAGATTCTCATTTCATACGTCATTTTACGAAAATTCGAGTTAAAGGAAAGTTTCCTTCGCCAGCTAAAAAGATCGGTCGTAAGAAGAAAAGAAAATTGTTATTGGACCGTTGTTATACGTTATATCGCGGACAGTAAAAGTCCGCGGTGTTATTCGAATACTAATTCGTGTTGTCACGCATCAATTGAATGTTGTTACAGTGATGCTGATTCAAATAAAAGCGTTAGCGAGCCAGTCGAAGTCGAAGTTCCACGAGATCATAAACCAAGTGATCGCTTACACGATACAGAAACAGTTGCCCACGCACATGAAGAATCGCCTTCTGAATTACTATAGGCATCGATTTCGTTACAGCTATTTCCGCGAGAAGTCGATATTGGTAAATCTCTCAGGTGATCGAGAAATCTAACTTTAAAGAAATCGAACGGGGCGGTGACTGAACTTCTTCGAAGTTCATTTAACGTTCTTACGCGAATGAATCATTATCGAATGAACTACGATGCTCTGTAATTTTCAGAGCAACTACGAATGGAAATCGCGTTCCAATCGAATCACCGTTTGGTCGAGAACGTCGCAATTTTCAGGGCGATGCCGAAACACGTGTTGCGATCGATAGTACGAAATTTGAAGTTCGAGTTGTATTTGCCGAACGATGTGATAGTGAAAGCTGGAGCCCACGGGGACTGCATGTTTTTCATATCCGCTGGAACTGTCGCTGTTTTAACGCCGACTGGAAAAGAGGTGAACAGCAATTAAAAATTGTTGAACAATTGGAGAAGCAAAATAAATTTGCTCAACCAAGTGTATGACAAATTTGAAACAAATACGAAACGGAAAACTCAATTGCGATTGTTAAGATCGGATCCAGGGACTATTTACAATATAAAAATAATATACAGGGTGTCCCAAAAATGTCTCGCAATCCGGAAATGGCGGGTTCCTCGGATCATTTGAAGCAACTTCTTCCTTTACAAAAATGTTCTCCGAGGCACCGTTAACGAGTTATTAACGAAAAACAGTGACCAATGTGAGGCGAGCTCGGCTGGCGCGAGGCGACCGAGCCAATGAGCGGAACTGGGCTTCGCGCGCTGGTTGGCTGGGCCGCCTCGCGTCAGCCGTACTCGATTCTTATCTGTCTCTTATACACATCTAGATGTGTATAAGAGACAGATATTTAAGGATCTTATATATTATTATTGTCCATACATTATATAGTAGCATCTTCCTTTATGTCTACCTTTATTTTATATATAATTATATATAAAATAAAGGTAGACATAAAGGAAGATGCTACTATATAATGTATGGACAATAATAATATATAAGATCCTTAAATATCTGTCTCTTATACACATCTAGATGTGTATAAGAGACAGATAAGAATCGAGTACGGCTGGCGCGAGGCGACCGAGCCAACGGCGCCAGCGGTCGAGGCGGTCGAACCCCAGCTCAGCTGGCGCGAGGCGACCGAGCCAATGAGCGGAACTGGGCTTCGCGCGCTGGTTGGCTGGGCCGCCTCGCGCCAGCCGAGCTCGCCTCACATTGGTCACTGTTTTTCGTTAATAACTCGTTAATGGTGTCTCGGCGAAAATTTTCGTAAAGGAAAAATTTGCTTCAAATGACCTAAGGAATCCACCACTTTCGGATTGCGACACTCTATATATTTATTCATATTCTTGACCATTTATATTTCAAAATATGGTAATTTTAAGTTTAAAAATCTCGAAGTCACCATTTTGCTGGCTCTTGTCCAGTATTATTCTTATAATAATAATACAATGCGAGTTGCTGTAATAATTTTCAATGTGTAAATGCAAGATGTATTCATAGCTGAATAATTATCATCAACTTTAGCAAAAAAAAAGAGAACGATTGAAAACGGAATAATATCTATAGATCTGTCACTTGGACGACGGAGCCCATTTCGGCGAGGTGGCATTGCTCGTGCCAGATCAACGAAGAGTCGCGAGCGTGATCGCGATCGAGGTGTGCGAGGTGTATCGTTTGGATCGTAAAGATTTCCGGAAGTGCATCGCCGTGCACACGGAATTGTTTGCAAAACTCGAAGAAATCGCTTCGGAGAGGATCCAGAGGGCTGTAGACATCGAGGAACAGCATAAACGATACTTGTTGCGTAATTCTTCGCATGATCAACCACGTCGGCTATCTATCGAGTGAACGTCATCGAACAGTTGTAACATTTCAAATGATAGTAATTTATTGACTGTTCAGTTTTGGTTTTACTATGCGACACGTTATGAAAACATAGTAATATTTTGCGTTAACTTAGGAAATATTGTAATTAAAAAAGAACTACGCAGCATTTGAAACAAGCTTGATGTGCAATTGAAAAAAAATAATGTTAAGGAGATTGAGATGTTAATAAATGAGTTATTTCTAAGATGTTGATGATATTTAAAATGGACGACATTAATTAACACTATCATGAAAACTATCATAAATATCCCACTAAAAAATTAGAATTCCTCTTAGGAAGTATAATATTTCGTTATCCTACGACAGTTTATCCTACAGACTCTGGTAGAAATCGTTTTATACAAATTAGGGTAAACTAGCGTAAATTTCTTCCAATCAAGAAATTTTTCCAAGCTTTAGAGATACTAATACTAATTTTCTTAAGTACTAATACTGAAAATTAGATGTTAAAATTTGAAACTCAGTATAGATTAGTGTACCGTTAAAAAGTGTAATTGACAACTCTGACGTCTGAGAAACAAAATAATGACCGAGTAGATTGTTTAACCATATATTTAAGGATCTTATATATTATTATTGTCCATACATTATATAGTAGCATTTTCCTTTATGTCTACCTTTATTTTATATATAATTATATATATATTAATATTATTATATTATATTATTATTTGATATTGTTATATTATTATATTATATTATACTATTTTAATCATTACCTAAGATACTTACAATTACAAATACACTCACTAACATCTTTAGCACTGTCGCAATAATCCATGCACGTACAGATAATACACTTGGAGATATGAATAAGTGATTAATTTATAGTTTCATTCTTCATCATATGTCTGTCTCGTTTTCTTTCTACCTTTTTGGCAATTCTCTTTCCCGTAAAACGCTAGAACCTTCGTTGGTATTCGCAGCGATGATCGCGGGTATCGTTTTACATTTAAAAATTAATCTACAAACTCTACCTAGCGATCGTAGAAAACTAATCACTGACAATGTTTCGGTGTCGTCGAAATTGGGAAAAGGGAAGGATCGGTGAGAGTTTCTATTCGATTGTACGCGAGGTGTGTTCCACGTTGTTATTGTTGTTGTTGTTGTTGTTGCTGTCGTTACTGTTGTTATTCTTGAAGTTCCTGTTGTTGTTATCTAGTCTTACCCTACGGGAATCAAAGGGGAAGTTCAAGCTCCAGAAAACGATTCTTCAATTCCTCGGACAATTGTCCGTTACATATCCTAGAACGGTTCTCAAGACGATTACAGCGCGAAGTTCGTAACGTAATCGCTGTACGGAGTCCCTTGTAAAAATTACATTTACGCTATGGGAATTTATATTTACATTAGAAATATCGAAGGTTGACGCGAGCCTAGCTGATCTAATCGATTCGCTATTGAAACACCGGAACTGTTCGGGTAACTCGGACTACTTGGAACGCGCGAACAGTTCCATTGTAACTATTACTAATCGTTGATCCAATTTAGCAATTTCGATTGTGTATTGTACTGCCCTTTCGGCGATAGTGTGCCGTCGACAAAAATTTCGAAGTTACAGGCTGATTCTAGTAAACGGCACATTAAATAGAATTGGAGGAGTACAATTGATTGAATTGTTGATTCGATGATAAATCTACCTAATTTGTTTCAATTTATACGGTTAACACGTTCCGTGCCGAGCTTTTTTTACTCGAATCTTCACACTTTGATATTTTACTAAAACTTGATGTATTACGTGCAATTATTAATTCTCGTACACATAACAACGTAACAAAAACTTATCAACGCCCATTCTTGCGGTGGAAATTGATTCTTCGGTTCTAAATTTCTTGTGAACAATTTGTTCAGTTCACTAAGTAAACATGCAAGCGTGTACCATCGATGGTACACGTGGCACGGAACGTGTTAACAGAGATTTAGAAACGGTACAATATTTCCTTCCTTATTCCTCGCGTCTCTGCGGATCTTTCTTTGTCCTATAAAATCTTCGGTGATAGTTTGTCAACATTTCAAAATTGTCTTCCGCTCGGAGACGATACTCGACGAATTATAAATTTCCGCCGTCAAAATATTCTAGCGCGAAATTTCCAAGTGTAATTCAATCTCCTAGCCCACGCAAAAGCACAGATGAGACAATTCAAGAACTATACTTGTTCGCGAAGTATTCGAAAGTATGATCGCTAAGTATTATTCTGCTCTGCCCGTGGTTAAAGCTTCGGTGTATAATTTGATTCTACGAAGAGATTTGACCTTAACATTTTCAGAAACTTCGGTTCGCAAAAGGTTGAAAAACAGTAGGCGGTATAAATCGATTGTTCTTTCCAGTATTTAATATATAATTGAATAATTTGGAGAAGACCTTTGTCCGCAAGGGGGTTGAGAAATAAGATCGAATATAATAACAAGATCGGTACAGATTGGCATACAGTTTCATTCTTCGAGGAACATATTTTTAGTTATTTGTAAAAGGTTTAGTTATTTGTAAAAATATACGAGGGGTTGAGGAAGGACTGAAACGAGAATACTGTCGACCGTACACTGTCAAGGGAAGGTAGTAGAACGGATTCCCGAAAGGGCGACGTGTCAAACTATCGAACGACCATCCACGATCATTTCCACGAACATCGATCTCTCGACCAGGAGAATTTCGCCGGCCCGTAGTCAAGATATGTTTGTCAACGATTAATACGTATATAGCGAGAATTATATACATCTCTAGTGTAAACGGTTGAGTGGGTGTACAGGGGATTTTGTATACTTAAAATCACACGGTAGAAATATAAATTATTTCCTATTAGAATAAAGAGGATCATCTACTGAAGTTCGACGTACACGCGAGCTGTGCGTAATAAAACTCGGTTCTTTCATCCCTTCGATTCGAGAGACAACACGGATTAAGATATAGGCTCAGCTACGCCCCGATACGCCGGTAAATTATGTAAACTATTTATACATTCGCTAGACAGTCGGTGCCGTTGCGTTACAACACATATCCGTTCGAGTCGTGTAAATATCTAGTTTGGTCAGATCTAGAGGAGTACGGAGGAGAAGAGCACTCAATATTCCGTTCGCAATTCGTCCGGACGATTATTCCCCCGAAATATACTATACCCTAGAAACACGTGAAACGCTTTCGTCGATATGCTTTCTTTCGGCTCTGCACGGTCGTACACGATTGTCCTGATTACGAAAATTGTCACGCTCTCGCGATCAAACCGACCGATTTATCTTCGAACAGCTACAGCAATTTTTATAATTTACGAATTTATTTGTGTATATTTCTTTTTTCTTTTTAAACACGAGCTTATATATTACAAACGAATTTATTTTCTATCATCTTTCTTATAAACCTGTTCCGCGTACCTGTTCCTTTATACTGCATAATATATTAAAACTTATACTCTATACATATACTTTATACTATAACATGTAATAAGTTTGTTTTTATATTTTGAATCGTTTTAGGTAAAACTGCACACTTATCTAAAAGTTTACAGCGAGATTAAAGCTAAACAGACACAATAATATGTTGCTACAATATAATTACACATTAATAAGTTCGATGCTGATATATCTTATAAACGGTTCTCAAAATTTCTTTGAATTACCAACCAACGAATCCGCCAACGAATCTTTCAATAATAACGGCAATTTTGATCATGATCCGATCGTGTTCGCTGAAGCAATTCGACAATTTCTTTTAGGATAACGCGAACGTGTCGAAAATCAGTCGATCGAAACGGTATCGTTGAAATAAATGCTACGGAGACTTGCGTTCGAACTTTTTACAGTCGAGAAATATTTCCAGTTTTCTCCGAGCGATCTCAGAATTTTGGATCGCGAAAGCGTCAAGTATAAAAAATGATAGCAATCGACGGGGGAAAATCAAGTTCGGAGGAACCCGTCCGCGAGACTCGCCTCTGGTATGAACAATCGTCCTCTACGTACAATATACATGAAACAGTATCCGCCAGTAAATAGATATTTAGCGCTCTTTCCCCGACCACTTTCGAAAGGGCGTCTAATAAGGCACTGTCATTTACTGTGACTGAAACGATAAGATGAAAGAGGTATGCACATCCCTACACGGTTCCGTGAATTCTTTTTATCCATTCGATTCGAATCGAGTGAGACTTACGCTTACAATTTATAAATGCTTTTGGTACCTTTCCCTTCGGAATCCTTGATATGCTACGGTGCTACTGATATTTTCTGTCGGCGTTCGGAACTGAGAGCTCGCATCGATCTGTTCTAACTTCCCTTTATGCGGCGATCGCAACAAATATATTCTACGGAGAAGATCGGCAGAATAATAAATCGTGAATAAAATCTATAAAGATGTGAATCGATTTTCTTCATCAGCTGTTGTTCATAGTAAACTGATTTATTTTCTAAATATATTTTAGCAGAATAAAACGTAAATAATACTTGAAACGTGCCAATTCAGTTAATTCCGTTATTCAGCTGTCATTCGTAATTAGTTGATTTATTCTGTAAATATTATGTGACGGACAGAATAAACAATTTCGTAAAAGAAGATACGATCTTCTCGTCCATTATTCATCGGCGAAATAGTTAATTTTCTTAAAACGACCGAGAGAATAAATTCCTCGTTCGAGTATCCCCAAGCAATTTTTGAATAATTTGCTTGGAAGTTATCATCTATCTCTACGGTAAGTGGACAACATCTTGGAGAAAGAACACTTGTAAAATTGTCGTCGGAAGCTAGCGACAGAAGTTAATTGGAGCTCTCACTGCCGGATGCCTGGGGTTCACGATAGACGATACAGCGTATATAGTAACAGTATAGTAGTTAACATTACGATTAAAATGTTCAGGAACAAATATATAAATGCAACACGTTAATATGACCATGTGACGCGGTTTGAGCGCTACAGAACTGATCGTACAGATGTCGGCGAGCAATCGTGCGCAAAGATGCAACGCAAACGGGTGCAAGATAAAAGCCCGGGATATGTTCTGCTGTCTCATTGCGTTGTATTCGCCGTGCGTTATATCGCCGATAGTTACGTCAAGCGAATGAGAAACTGCGAAATCGACGTTGCACCTTCGCGAAACAGTGTCGCTCGATTGCGATCGCGAACTATTTGGCGGCAGCGCCTGCTATATACGGCAATAGGTTCGAATATATCGAATAAGGAATAAGTGATAACAGTATCATAGAGTATATAAATGGCATATTGCGTAACAAACTATTTATATTGTACAACGTAACGTGCGTATATGCTTCATACAAATAGGTACAAGTTCTCCACCTCATCTCCCGTTCGTCTCTTCGCGCATGCGTCTTCGAATGAGTACAAAAAAAAGAAATAATAATAATAATAATAATAATAATAATAATAATAATAATAATAGTGTTTAAAAAGAAAATAAAACGGAGGAGATAAGAAAGGATGGAGAAACGCGGATTCTTAACTTATCGTTAGCGTGCTAAGCGCGAGAGAACACGAGCTCCGCGGGATCTACAGCGACATTTTCTTGTTCCCATGACACGTTGTCCAACGGAGTCGCTGACTTGCACCACGATGCACAAATTGGTCGCGGTTGCTGATTACCGGCGCATCGTTGTTGCATTCTCTTCATTCTATCTCTGACAAACTACTGCGACCGCTACGATTTTGTTCAGCACGTCGACTGCTTTGCGAATGAATTTCTCCACGTGTTCACCGTTTATTCTATTTTTTTTTGGAAATCTGAGTGTTAGACGAAAATAGTTGCAATTTCAAATAGTAGAAAGATTAACAGAGTTATCGAATGTCAATGTATTATTTTGAATCTATTGAAATGGTTATACAAAGAATGAACTTGCTATTTAGTTTCTATTTCTTGCAACCGACACATGGACAATTTTTATTTTGCACATAGTGAGAGATATTCAGTTTTATTTTCATCCTGCTACTTGAAATTGATGCAGAAAAGAATATTGGCACATTGGTTTCAATTTATTTCAAGTATTAAAAGAAGAAATTTTGTATTTCAATAAAAAGAAAAATTCTCATTGCATCGTTATTTATTGAAAACGTTAAGGAATAAATATTTATTTAATTGCTGTTTCATGCAACTGATACAGACAATTTTTAGTTTAAAACTCCTCGGTGATTACTGCTCGATCCATAGTGCAGTTGATGAACTATGTTATGTTAACGACACTCGTTAATCACCGATTGCAGTCAACGTGAAAAACAGGAGGAACGTCTCAAACGTAATTGAAATAAAACAATTATTGCATGATCGTAACAAGATGTATCCACAAATAGAGAAAAGGCGATGTACAGAGTTCGCGCCTCGTCGAAATTTTGATTGACGCTAGAATGTGCCAAGCAGTAAAAGCGACTCGATGAAAAATTTATATAAAAACCGCAAGACCGTCTTCATAAAAACTTCTCCCCAATATATGAATACCTTTAACAATTTCTTTCGAAACTATCATCGAGACAAAATTTTGCAAATGAATCGTTTTCATCGTTCCACTAAATCTACCGTTAAATTAAACATGACGTTGCACACATCGGATGCATTATTGCACCAGCGATTAAATCGAGAGCACAGGAAACGATTTACACCAACCCCTAATCTTTCTCCAACGCCTTTCCCTATCGATAAATCAACGATATCTCTCATCTCGATCATGCAACGTCAGCATTACGGTCCCTCAAGGTCGAGAAAATGCGGTCTACAGTGTTTCCTTCATCAAATATGCCTCGTTCAAATCCGGGAATGCAATCCCAGCGCCGGAAATCGACTTGGTCAACATCAATGAAAGGAGGATAAGAGAAGAGGGGAGAGTGTGGAGGACCGTTTCCGGTTCTCCTACCCCTCGGATAGTTATTTATCCCGCCTAATATGGCTTCGACCGACTAGGATTCAGCGTCAGATCGTATATACATGGATGACAAAGCCTCGAAAGAGACAGCGACGAAGATCAGGGAACCTCGCTGTTGCTTAACATATCTTAAGATACCTATGTATAGACGTTCTAAGGCTTTGGCAGTGAGTTAAACGTCGATTGCGGGGCGTGCTCGAGAGACGGCTCTTGATCTCGATAGCCGTTGACCCCTTGAACCCCCTTGCAAACACGTTCGCGTAGTTTCGTGTCCCCTCGATTATTAAGTTGATGTACCCGCCGAATCTTGGTCGGTGATCGTCGTCGGTGGACCAGAGCACACTATTAACACTAGGTCCTCGGTCTTAGACCAGCGACTTCAGGATGTGACGTCGCCTCCTTAACGAGTTGGTTAAATGGGCCCCCCTGGGCGGCAATTGGCCAGCCTCTGTGCACGAACGGCAGCAGAACTTCGCGTAGTACTTGTGCGTGCAGTACTTGGACTTCACGATCAGCCCGCAGTTCGCGAAGAACGCGTTGTCCTGGCAATTCGGGTGGATGAAGATTCCTGGAAGAAGAGAAGACGAATTGTTAGCGCGATTTCTGTTGACGAGACTACTTCTTTCTTCTGAAGTTGTAACGAAATGAAAGGCGAGAGGAAAGAGTCGCTTCAGCAAGAGTTTCTGAAACTTTATTCAAACAATGCTACTTAACACTAGAACTACCCGAACCAGTCGAAACGACTGGTTCTTCATTGCAATTCCTTATATTATAAAAACGTTTCTACGAGAAACATTTAGGTAAGTTTCTTCACTCAAGCTTATATTATCATAAGCTTGTATTATATTATATAAGCTTATATTATATTAAGCTTATATTTATATAAGCTTATATTATCACAAGCTTATATTTATATAAGCTTATATTATCACAAGCTTATATTTATATAAACTTATATTATCACAAGCTTATATTTATATAAGCTTATATTATCACAAGCTTATATTATAATAGAAAGAAGTTTAAATAAATGTAATACAGGATGTCCCAAAAATGTCTCGCAATCCGAAAGTGGCGGGTTCCTCAGGTCATTTGAAGCAACTTTTTCCTTTACAAAAATTTTCTCCGAGGCACCGTTAACGAGTTGTTAACGAAAAACAGTGACCAATGAAAGGCGAGATCAGCTGCCGCGAGGTGGCCGAGCCAACGGCGCCAGCGGTCGAGCGGTCGAATCCCAGCTCAGCTGGCGCGAGGCGACCGAGCCAATGAGCGGGACTGGGCTTCGCGCGTTGGTTGGCTGGGCCGCCTCGCGTCGGCCGTACTCGATTCTTATTGGTCACTATTTTTCGTTAATAACTCGTTAACGGTGCCTCGGAGAAAATTTTTGTAAAGGAAGAAGTTGTTTCAAATGATCCGAGGAACCCGCCATTTCCGGATTACGAGACATTTCTGAGACACCCTGTATTGTTTAACAAGGAGAAGTCGCAGTCGTTGAGTCGTTGATTATTTTCTCTCTCTTCTTTTAGTTTACATGTAGAATATTGCAATCGATTCTCGAGTAGAATTTTTAGTAATTGTGGTCGCATGAAACTACGATACTACTAGGTGTGTTTTATGGTGATAATGCGTTTGGGCGAAAATTTGAGATAATTCTGTTATTTGAATCATCGTTTAAGTGTATTGTGTAGTGTCCTTTAAGTCTGCAGATAGCACATTTTTTTTCTGCTGAATCCAGAGCAGAAATAAAGCTGACTCGTTGATGCTCATTATCTATCAGGATATTTTTTTATAATTTTTCTTTATGATTTGTGCAGTACCATATATTGCATAATTACATTGATTAACGCTTGTTCGTCGGTAAATACGTTTTTACGCGAGACAGATAACTGATATTTATTGTATTCCAATATGTTTACTTCATATTTATTTCTAGGCCGTCAGGAAATACGTATAATCGGAAAACGAATAGATGTAACTTACCAGCAACTTGTATGTCCACGCTGTCAGAAGCTGTGGAGTAGTCATTGGTAGCTTCGCAACGGTATCTTCCGGAATCCTCCTTGTTCGCATTGTTGATCACGAGCTTGTTCATTTCTGAGAACAGAATTCGATAGAAGCGCGTGATTAAATCAGCGTTGTACCATTCCTAGAAAGTGTCTGTTATTTTGGATGCTAACCATTGATCTGTACTCGTTCGCCAGGATGAATCAGCTCGTTATCCTTGTACCAGGATATTCGCGCGATCGGGTAACCGTCGGCATTGCAAACGATGTTGACGTCGCTTCCTTCGGGGAACTGATTCTGTCCTATCGATATGCTGACGTTGACAGGAACTGCGGAACGTAATTTCGTCTATTAAAGATTTTTCGAAACGGGCAGAAAATCGAAGAATAAAAGAATTGCAAAAAAGCAAATTCGAAAACGTCTTACTCGTCCAGCGGCTTCGCTAAGAAATTGTTAATATTTTAGTTAGTATTCACACCGGCAAGCGAAGAAGCAGTGCTGCATGCAGTGAAAGCGTGCTCAATCGAAAATACAAACGAGAAAAACTCAGTCCAATTGCATCGTTCTTCCGTGTCATTTTCCAAAATCTGACCACAAAAAAACAAAATTACGGTCGACAAGCTCGCAACAATACGTGCGCGTAAATATGTTCCACGGATCTTACTTGAAAATTGTTGAAATTCTAAAGACTCTTCGGCAGAAAATGATTGAATAAATTTTTTAATTCAACCACACATTACAAGGTGTCCCGAAAATGTCTCGCAAATAGTGGGTTCCTCGGATCATTTGAAGCAACTTCTTCATTTACAAAAATGTTCTCCGAGGCACCGTTAACGAGTTATCAACGAAAAACAGTGACCAATAAGAATCGAGTACGGCCGACGCGAGGCGGCCCAGCCAACCAGCGCACGAAGCCCAGTTCCGCTCACTGGCTCGGTCGCCTCGCGCCAGCTGAGCTCGCCTCTCATTGGTCACTGTCTTTCGTTAATAACTCGTTAACGGTGCCTCGGAGAATATTTTTGTAAAGGAAAAAGTTGCTTCAAATCACCTGAGGAACTCGCCACTTTGGGATTGCGAGACATTTTTGGGACACNGTTGACAGGAACTGCGGAACGTAATTTCGTCTATTAAAGATTTTTCGAAACGGGCAGAAAATCGAAGAATAAAAGAATTGCAAAAAAGCAAATTCGAAAACGTCTTACTCGTCCAGCGGCTTCGCTAAGAAATTGTTAATATTTTAGTTAGTATTCACACCGGCAAGCGAAGAAGCAGTGCTGCATGCAGTGAAAGCGTGCTCAATCGAAAATACAAACGAGAAAAACTCAGTCCAATTGCATCGTTCTTCCGTGTCATTTTCCAAAATCTGACCACAAAAAAACAAAATTACGGTCGACAAGCTCGCAACAATACGTGCGCGTAAATATGTTCCACGGATCTTACTTGAAAATTGTTGAAATTCTAAAGACTCTTCGGCAGAAAATGATTGAATAAATTTTTTAATTCAACCACACATTACAAGGTGTCCCGAAAATGTCTCGCAAATAGTGGGTTCCTCGGATCATTTGAAGCAACTTCTTCATTTACAAAAATGTTCTCCGAGGCACCGTTAACGAGTTATCAACGAAAAACAGTGACCAATAAGAATCGAGTACGGCCGACGCGAGGCGGCCCAGCCAACCAGCGCACGAAGCCCAGTTCCGCTCACTGGCTCGGTCGCCTCGCGCCAGCTGAGCTCGCCTCTCATTGGTCACTGTCTTTCGTTAATAACTCGTTAACGGTGCCTCGGAGAATATTTTTGTAAAGGAAAAAGTTGCTTCAAATCACCTGAGGAACTCGCCACTTTGGGATTGCGAGACATTTTTGGGACACTCTGTATAATAAAACCAGGGAAACGTCTAAACGATGTCTAAGACGTCGCACTTGTCAATCTTACGAAGCAACGCATAGCAGACATCTTTGTTGTTCGGTAGATTCAGTACTAAAAAAATGAACTCTACAATTGGACCAAACGGAAGAGCAAAATATTCATTCCCCTCACCTCTATACCTAGAGCCACCAGGTTGCGGCGTGGTTAGTGGTTCTATGGGACTCACGGTGGGAATAAAGGGTTGTCTGGTCGAATAGATGGGTGCGTAAGTTTGTTCATCCAAGGACTGATTTCTACTGGGTCTGTAGGGATACTCGGGTTTTCTGGGGGGTTGGACCAGGTATTTCATGAACTGCTCGTACTCGGGCTTGACATTGTACACCGGGCCAATAGCCTTCAAGGTCAACGACCAGGACACTGCCCGGCCAATAGCGTTGAAGGCCTGGCAGGTGTAGACGCCGAGAGTGGGCAATGACACCGATCGGATCAGCAGGGTGGAGTCAGAGTCCTGCTCGTATAGATCCGATGTCAAGGGCACTATCTCGTGACCTCGCCACCAGGTGACAAACGGCCTGGGCCAGCCTATCGCGTAGCAATGCAACGATATCGGCGAGTTCATCGTTACCGTCACCACCGTATTCGGCTCCCCTAGTATGGTGGTGGCCATTTGTTGCGGATCTAGAGGATGCAAGACAATAGCATGCACAGTGCTCGCAAAACACAGACCTTGCCGGCAATGCTGGTCGACGTAAGATTAATTTCATGAAAAGTCTCACGAACGTGACAGAAAATCGATCGTGTCGAGCAAGATAACCATCGAGTTGTTAAAGAAGAGGATTCGAGCGGAAGTGAAAGTGATTCGCAGAAATTCGCGACGTCGCTGTATTTAACCTTTCAGGCACGGCTGAATTCTGCGCGAGGCTATTTCTCTGGACGGCAGAGTCTGATATGTACTGTAGAGAATATCTGTATATTCTGTCTATATATTGTTAAGATACGGTAATATTGTTAACAGTTATATCGTTAAGATAAGTCTGCATATTGTAAATCGATGTGAAGACAAAAGAAGTGTGAAACCATGCATACGAAGACGATTATTTGGTTCAAACGATGACCGAGTGAGCTACTAGAGTAAGCCACTATAGTGGCGCGTCGTGCCTAAAAGGTTAATAGCAAAATAAATCGTTTCAAAGTGCAGTGCGGATTCGGGCACGATAAATGTTACAAATTCGAGATAATCACTTCACTTCCACTGTGTCGTTAGCTCCACTTGTTACAAACCGCTTCTACCAGGTGCAAACATTAGAATCTACGTTGAGTATTATTCGCAGAAATTGCAACGGTTTTTTACGGTAACTGGTTACGACAACGAGTGCAACATGAAGGACAGTCACAACGAGAACAGCAAGTTTCTAATCGTTCCATCATCCAGCAAGACTGAACTAAGGTAACTATTGTTGTACGTACCTGTGACTACCAATTGGTATTCCACTCTTACCGGCGGTCCTAAGCCGTTGTCAGCTATGCAAGTGTAAGTTCCGCCGTCGTATCTGTACAGGCTGATGATCTGCAGAGATCCGTCGTGCAGTATGCGACGCCTGTTCTCCGCTGTTGCGATCTATGGGCATCGATAGTCTTGTTAAAATCTTGCTACGTTTTCTCGAATTACAGTAGAATCCCGATGGTCCTTCATACTCGCAAGCCGCGCGCGGTGCTTAACTTTCGTGGATTCTCTCTTAAGAAGTTTAGAAAAAAAAAGAATAAAAAGAACGTTACCAAAGTGGTGTCCTTCCTCCACGTAATGACCGGTTTCGGATTTCCTCGCGCGATGCAAGTCATGGTTACGTAGCCACCTTCCTGAGCACTGACTTTCGGCTCCTCAGGTTGTTGAATCGAAGCAGGCTCTGCTCCGACCGGCGGTGTGGTCTGCCAAGGCTTCATCGTGGTTGTTGGAACTTCCTCGACGGCGGGCTCCAGACAGGAAGTGCCGCAGCCATTGTTGCAGCATTTCATCTCTCCGTTGCAATCTGCATCCGTGGCGCACTCCTGCTCGCACCTGGTGCTATTCGTAACGTTCGGACAGATGCCCGGTTTCGTGGCTTTGGAAAAGAAGAAGTTTCAGCATCGTTTACCAGTCTATATACAGGGTGTTCCAAAAATGTCTCGCAATCTGAAAGTGGCAGGTTCCTCGGGTCATTTGAAGCAACTTTTTCCTTTGCGAAAATTTTCTCCGTGACTTCGTTTACGAGTTATTAACGAAAAACACTGGCCAATAAGAGGCGAGCTCGGCTGGCGCGCGGCGGCCCAGTCAACGAGCGCACGGAGCCCAGTTCTGCTCATTGGCTCGGCCGTCTCGCGCCAAATGATCTCACCTCTGATTGGTCACTGTTTTTCGTTAATAACTCGTAAACGAAGCCGCGGATTGCATTTTCGCTAAGGGAAAAGTTGCTTCAAATCACCTCAGGAATCCCCCACTTTCGGATTGCGAGACATTTTTGGGACACTCTGTATAGTAATCAATATTTTTATTTATATATATATATATATATATATAAATTATTTTATATATTATTATATTTTATATATATATAATATATATTTTATTCTTATATATCAATTTTTTTTTTTTTAATTCCGAATGTCTTTCAAACACGCATCGTTAGACCGCGGATTTTATGCATTGGCGGCAGAGCCGAGTAGATGAGATACGAAACGATGAAAGGAAACGATAAATTCAAAAGATGAATAGTATGAAGTCAGTAATAATTTCAAGGTTCTTGTGTTTTGCGGATCCTGATAAAATTAGGAGGATATAACGGATTAGCGTACATGTGAATTTTCAAATCTGAGAAAATAGTTCCGTCACCCGCGCATGGCTGACATGGCAGTCAAAATGTTGACATGATTTCTAATTGGCTTTTTGATTTTGCAGAAAAGTCCACAGTCTACTTATGATAAATCAGCTGCAGGTCTTGAAGCATTCGTGGGATGTGCTTTGTGAGAAAACAATGCAAGAAAATACAAGAAAGCACTGAAATTTTACCAAAAAAATTGGTTAAAAATTAGGTTCGCTGTTGAACGGTTTGATTGAAAATTGGATAACATGTTTTGGTCGGTTATGCTAGCTGGAATCTTCCAATCGGTAACAGAAATTTTTCTCCGAGTTTTTAAGCAATAGATGATGCGAGTGGAAATTGCATAAACTGTGTACGGTCCAGCGATGTTTGACTTACTAGGCCTGCAGACGCCTTTGTATTCGGTGCCATCCGTGGTAGCGACCAATGTTATCGCGCACTTGGTGCCATCGGGACAAGCTTGCGTCCTGCAAGGATCCACGCATACGCATCGTTCGCAATCCTGAGAGTCCACGAACGCTTCCTTGCCATAAGGACACTGGATGGTACTGCATTCCTCGCGAGCCTCCGCGCAAAGATCATTTACATCCCCTGTAGTAGCGTTTTCGCCTACCTTGTCAGTAGCTACGATCAAATCATTTTGCAATCGTTACACTCGAAGCAGTATTCCCATTTGCAGAATCAAAGAAACGAATTAAACGAAATATTCAAAAGAGTAGCGAAAAAAATATATTGCGATGTAAGCTATATTACATTTTGCATTAGAGGAACATTTAAAGCAGGATGTAATAGACATTTAAAAATCTATATCATGGATTCGCGATGCTTTCTTTTCGAGCGAATGCGTTCAGAGTATTAAATAAATATGATATTTTCACTTTATGTTTCGTATAAGGAGTTTTTAATCTGATTCTGGATTTTAGAAAATGTTTCATAAAAATGAACATAAAGTTCTGAGGTTCAATAATATGAAATTAGGTAATGAGAAATGGACGCGAAGAAAAATAGAAAATATGTAAATAATAGGTAAACCGTAAATTATTATAAAAAATATTATATTATAAATGCCATTTATAATTCTTTCTTCTGGAATAGAAGAAAATCTTTGAGTTGAAAAACTAGAAGGAATCTCTTGGAATCTGGTGGAATCTATTTTTCTCATATTCTGGATCTTATAAAATGATCGGTACAAATGAAAATTTACATAAAGATTTGAAGTTTAATCACACAAAAAAATAGTGCAAACCAGGATTGTGCTTTTCTGGAAGTCTTGGGCGATTCGTTTAGAAACAGCGTTTCCAAAATTCAATACAAAAGAGAATCTGTTCATTATATTATTGCGCTCAGTATTTTGGAAACATTGTTGCCACAAAAACAGGAGAACGAAGAGAAAGAAAAAAGATGATATAAAATGTGACATAATTAAAAGAAATATAAAATTCGCAGCGAGCGTGTGAAATAATATACACCGTAATCGAAGCTGGTAGCTGTAAAATTTGGAAAGAAAAATTTCGTAAATGGCGTCGATGTCGTTTCCTCGACTTACACGGCAGACACGAGTGTATGCAAGCTTCGAAGGTCTTGAATCGATTTCGATTGCCGCCGCATCCGGTATAAATGAACGCACGGCAGCTTTGATTATCCTCGTCGAAGTAGAACCGTTTGATCGACGAACCGGGAGTACAGGAGCCGATGTCGGCCGGTTCTTTACAGATCGCTAAACCATCGCCGTTCAAATGTTCTATTAGATTCCCCGGATCTCAGTGTACATCTCCATAAAATTCTTAACTTTCGTCGATCATCGAATTCTCGAATTGAATCGTTCGTAACAATTATCGGCACAGCAATTATCATACGGAACAGTCTTTTCGACGTCATCTCTTCTCAAAATGAGAACTGCCTTCCTTTCTCATTTTCTGTCGTTGCTAAGCTATTTCTGCGATAATACTTTCCGTTCATTTGATCAAGTTACTAATTAACCCTGACGCGGTATATCGTTTCCGCAGACCTCGAAACCTGGTGGAATTTTTTTGAAAATTTTCTAAACATAGACTAAAATTATTTTGAATATAAAATAAGACTACAAAACAATTATCGACACAGCAATTATCATACGGAACAGTCTTCTCGACGTCATCTCTTGTCAAAATGAGAACTGCCTTCCTTTCTCATTTTCTGTCGTTGCTAAGCTATTTCTGCGATAATACTTTCCGTTCATTTGATCAAGTTACTAATTAACCCTGACGCGGTATATCGTTTCCGCAGGCCTCGAAACCTGGTGGAATCTTTTTGAAAATTTTCTAAACATAGACTAAAATTATTTTGAATATAAAATAAGACTACAAAACAATTATCGACACAGCAATTATCATACGGAACAGTCTTCTCGACGTCATCTCTTGTCAAAATGAGAACTGCCTTCCTTTCTCATTTTCTGTCGTTGCTAAGCTATTTCTGCGATAATACTTTCCGTTCATTTGATCAAGTTACTAATTAACCCTGACGCGGTATATCGTTTCCGCAGGCCTCGAAACCTGGTGGAATCTTTTTGAAAATTTTCTAAACATAGACTAAAATTATTTTGAATATAAAATAAGACTACAAAACAATTATCGACACAGCAATTATCATACGGAACAGTCTTCTCGACGTCATCTCTTGTCAAAATGAGAACTGCCTTCCTTTCTCATTTTCTGTCGTTGCTAAGCTATTTCTGCGATAATACTTTCCGTTCATTTGATCAAGTTACTAATTAACCCTGACGCGGTATATCGTTTCCGCAGGCCTCGAAACCTGGTGGAATCTTTTTGAAAATTTTCTAAACATAGACTAAAATTATTTTGAATATAAAATAAGACTACAAAACAATTATCGACACAGCAATTATCATACGGAACAGTCTTCTCGACGTCATCTCTTGTCAAAATGAGAACTGCCTTCCTTTCTCATTTTCTGTCGTTGCTAAGCTATTTCTGCGATAATACTTTCCGTTCATTTGATCAAGTTACTAATTAACCCTGACGCGGTATATCGTTTCCGCAGGCCTCGAAACCTGGTGGAATCTTTTTGAAAATTTTCTAAACATAGACTAAAATTATTTTGAATATAAAATAAGACTACAAAACAATTATCGACACAGCAATTATCATACGGAACAGTCTTCTCGACGTCATCTCTTGTCAAAATGAGAACTGCCTTCCTTTCTCATTTTCTGTCGTTGCTAAGCTATTTCTGCGATAATACTTTCCGTTCATTTGATCAAGTTACTAATTAACCCTGACGCGGTATATCGTTTCCGCAGGCCTCGAAACCTGGTGGAATCTTTTTGAAAATTTTCTAAACATAGACTAAAATTATTTTGAATATAAAATAAGACTACAAAACAATTATCGACACAGCAATTATCATACGGAACAGTCTTCTCGACGTCATCTCTTGTCAAAATGAGAACTGCCTTCCTTTCTCATTTTCTGTCGTTGCTAAGCTATTTCTGCGATAATACTTTCCGTTCATTTGATCAAGTTACTAATTAACCCTGACGCGGTATATCGTTTCCGCAGGCCTCGAAACCTGGTGGAATCTTTTTGAAAATTTTCTAAACATAGACTAAAATTATTTTGAATATAAAATAAGACTACAAAACAATTATCGACACAGCAATTATCATACGGAACAGTCTTCTCGACGTCATCTCTTGTCAAAATGAGAACTGCCTTCCTTTCTCATTTTCTGTCGTTGCTAAGCTATTTCTGCGATAATACTTTCCGTTCATTTGATCAAGTTACTAATTAACCCTGACGCGGTATATCGTTTCCGCAGGCCTCGAAACCTGGTGGAATCTTTTTGAAAATTTTCTAAACATAGACTAAAATTATTTTGAATATAAAATAAGACTACAAAACAATTATCGACACAGCAATTATCATACGGAACAGTCTTTACGACGTCATCTCTTGTCAAAATGAAAACTGCCTTCCTTTCTCATTTTCTGTCGTTGCTAAGCTATTTCTGCGATAATACTTTCCGTTCATTTGATCAAGTTACTAATTAATCCTGAAGCGGTATAACGTTTCCACAGGCCTCGAAACCTGATGGAACTTTTTGAAAATTTTCTAAACATAGACTAAAATCATTTTAAATATAAAATAAGACTACGAAACAATACCTCAAAGAAGTTCCTCAAAGAACTTGGGGAAATCTCGTATTTGCAACTGTGCAATAAAAAGTAGTAAAAATTACAGAAGTTACATCTTTTTAATTCCGGCAGAACGATCTGCATTTTCTCGTCCTTATTGTCGCGCCGATCAATTTAACGCTAACGGAACGATCGAGTTAAGGAATTGGGATACTTACACAGATTTGAAACGTCCGTATCGTTCCCAAATGGCACTGGTTCCTCGTGATGTAGGCAAACCAACTCGCACTCGGAGATCGAGCTGAACCTGTTCGCATTGCCTTCGCATCCGCCGTAGCTGAATTCGCGACAGACACGGCTGATGGAATCGTAGAAGAATTTCGGGAAATCACCTCTGCACTCGCCACGATCCACCGACAAGTTGCACACGTCTGCGATAAACAATTTCCAAAAATTATAGAAGCATTCTCCTTCGCATTGACACTATTTTCGTGCGAATACAGTAATATAATAATAATAATAAATATATAATACATATAATATATATATATATATATATATATATATATATATATATATATAAACATACTGTTATATATATTATTACTGTATTATATATATAACAGTATATAATATACATATATATATATAATACAGTAATATACAGGGTGTCCCAAAAATGTCTCGCAAACCGGGAACGGAAGATTCCTGAGGTCATTTAGAATAACTTTCTCCTTTGCGAAAATGCGATCCGCGGCTTCGTTTACGAGTTATTCACGAAGAACCCTGACCAATAAGAGGCCAACGAGCGCGCGAAACCCAGTTTCGCTGATTGGCTCGATCGTCTCGCGCCAGCTGATCTCGCCTCTCATTGGTCACTGTTTTTCGTTAATAACTCGTTAATGATGCCTCGGAGAAAATTTTTGTAAAGGAAAAAGTTGCTTCAAATGGCCTCAGGAATCCCCCATTTCCGAATTGCGAGGCATTCGAACAAAAATTCGGAGATAACAGAGATATTAAGAAGAGATAATTTGCAGATATTAGAGGAGCATAAGTTTGCTGCGCAACGTTTAAACAAATTTTGGTAAAAATTACAGTTGCTCTCTCAAGAATCGTTAAAAAGTTATGTCCGTATAATTTAACGAGAATTTAATTTCAAGAAAAATAAGAAGATCTCTCACCCTGTCCATGGAACTTGCCGCACAGTCGTTCGCACTGTTCCTCGGTCTTGAATCGGTTCGCGTTTCCGCCGCATCCGCCGTAAATGAAGGCTTGGCACCTCTGGAACTGCGAATCGTAGTAATAAGCAGTGATTTCGTGACTGCATGTGCCTGGATCGGCGGGTGTATAGCAGACGGGACTCTTCGAAACGGTGTCGACGGAAGGTGGCGGTGTGACGGTGACGTTTCGATCTGGCTGACTCGCATCCGGCCTCTTCTTGCACTTTCTCTCGCAGGAGGTCCTGTCTTGGAAGCGATTCTTGTTGCCCTGGCAGCCGCTGTATTCGAATTCGTAGCACGAGTCCGTGCGATGGTCGTAGTAATATTGTTTGTCGACGCCGCTGCAAGGTCCGACGACTCTGGGCAGGCCGCAAGGATCTGCGAACGAAGAAGGTGTACATTAATTAATTGTTATACAGAATCGTCTTCCATGTAATCGGTTTTTCAAATGTTGGACCATCGCTTCGGTCTCTATCGCTACATTTCTCGCTAAGAAAACAAACATAGAAAATATTCTTGATCCTTCTCTCCCCCTCTCTCTCACTCTCTCTCTCTCTCCCTCTCCTACCATTCCTCGTTTATTAGCATGACACAATATTTGTGCTTGGTAGATTTTGCGGCTTTCCTCTGGTAACAAAATATCTATGTAAAATATTTTCTTACAAATTATACAATTTTTATCTGTTCGGCTGATTTCTCTCCTTATCGCGATAGCTTCGTTGCGTGTTATATCTGTCGTTGTATCTGCTTACGAACCTTGAACATCTCCGCACCGATATTCGCACTCTTCCTTGCTGTTAAAGTTGTTCCCGTTGCTCTGGCATCCACCGTATCTGAACTGCTTGCAAACACCGTCTCTACTGTCGTAGAACCATTTGATGTGGTCCTCGGAGCATGCGCCATGTTCGTCGGGAAGGAAGCAGAAATCTAAAATGAATTCAACCATCGCGTAGCGTTTAAATCGTCGTCTAATTATTCGAGGTCCGGCGGTTAAATCGAAGAAGTTACCGTAACCAAAGAAACGTCAATTTTCGTAATTGTGAAAACAGTCCGTTCTCCGAGAGCTGATCGGCGCGTTTAGGTTGAATTATATTGGGTTGGCAACTAAGTAATTGCAGATTTCAGTTACAGACGTCTCTCACTTCCATTTTTATGATATCCGTAAATGTTATATTATAAAATTATTATTATTATTATGATCATTATTATTATTATCATCATCATCATCATCATCATCATCATCATCATCATCATCATCATCATTATTATCATTATCATTATTATTATTATTATTATTATTATATATTATTATTATTATTATTATTATTATTATATATTATTATTATTATTATTATGTTATTTTTTATTATCCGTGAATGTTAGCAACTGGACAAATTGAACGCAGCGGTCAAGGAAAAGCGACCAGAATTGGTCAATCGTAAAGGTGTCATTTTCCAGCAGGACAATGCTAGGCTGCACACGTCTTTGTCCACTCGGCAAAAATTGATGGATATTGGTTGGGAATTGATGTTACACCCACCATAAAGCCCTGATCTCGCACCATCGGATTACCACTTATTTCGATCCCTGGACAACTCCCTTCGTGGTAAAACTTTTAACGATGATGACGCTGTAAAATCTCACTTAACTCA